CTGTGTTAAGGCGGAAACAACGAGTCAGTTAATGTTTTAGTCCACCAGCACAACATTGGCAACTGTTTGATAATTGATTTATTTAAGGCAATTATCACTTGTGAAACATTTGGTGGCTTAGTCATTATTAAGAGTTCAGAGCAGGGCGCTTGGGGCAAGCTGCATGAGAAGGTTAAGGATGAGGGGAGTGAGCAAACTGGGCTCAGCAACCAGCAGCCACAGCAGCAGCAACAGCAGTGTCTTTTTTGAAGAAAGAGCCTCACGGTTGTCCCATGTTCATATCCATTTCATGACAAACGAAATACCACAGGCCGTAGCCAAAAAACAATGGCTGGTTTGGCTGGCTGGAGGCGGTGTGGGAGGTGGTGGTGGAAGGGGGCGGAGGGGGCTAAGACTGGCTTCCAGCCCCTGCAGCTGTCCCGGTTGTCACTCCTTGTCTTAAGGCTCACTCCTGGCTCAACACTCCAGCCCATGGATCAAGGGGGATGTGTGCCGCTGCAATGTGTGTGTATGTGTGTTAGTCAGTGCATCCCAAGCCCCGAGAGATACTGCGAGATGATTCTCAGTACTCAACAGAGTCTGAAAAGTGGCTCCAGACACAAAAGGCAAGTTGAACGGTGTTAAGACCCCTTCGGTATGGAGCAGACCCCAGGCATGAGGTCATCAGACTTGGTTTAGCAACCTTTGTCCTACTGCTTGATTGACAGGAGGGATGGCTAGCAACGGCAATGGTGAGATCAGTTACAGCCACGGATGTCACTCAGGTCTCCAGTAAGAAACACGTGTAATAATTCACTTAATCATTTCATTTAAATGAGAAACTGATTTTTCAAAACCACAACATGGTGCATACTAAATAAAAACAATTTTGACACAAATGCTAATTGCATACCAACACACAGTGACATTCAGGTGTGGTAACTGTTTTGGACTTTCAGTTTGTGGGCCTCACAAATAATAAAGTCTGTGAATCTTTTAATCTGTGTTGATAACAGGTGATAAGTTTAATATGCCACGAACCACTAGTAAGCCTGTGTATGCTGCAAAGGAGAAAGACAAATCTCTTCCCGTCTCTCTCTCTCCCTCCCTTATGTCTCGGAGATTAGCCTTTGCTCAAACACCTCCTGTTCATCTAAGTAATTAAAACATTAGAATTACTGGATTATAAACTGCTTTTCGTTTAATCCAGCACTCGATGCTCCTACCATCTTTCCAAATGGGTCAATAGGAAATAAAATGGGTCTCTGTGATTTCTGATTCAGGGGCAAAGAATGCCAATAATGGCTATTAAAAGATGTGTGTTTGTGTGTGTGTGTGTGTGTGTGTGTGTCTGAGAGAAAGAGAGAGAGAGAAAGAGAAAGAAAGATAGACAGAGACCGCTTTGCCCTGAGTGCCATCTGTCTTGGATCCACCAGGCCCCGTTTAGACAGGAAAGCCAAATCAGTTCAGTAGCTCTACCCACAATGCACAATAATGTGCACACACACATGCTTGCATACACACACAACTCCTCTTGACCTCTTCCTCTCTTGAAGTGAAAGTGTATTTCAGGAGTAGAGGCATCTGTAGTTTTTGATCTTTCTTTAAGAAATTTACACAGGACAGGCCCCTTTAGTCCTCTGCTGTGTGTACGTGTTTCTGTGTGCTTCATGAGACCCTAGAGCAGGTGTTTATCCCTGGGGCACCCACTACACCTTAAAGGCCTTTTATCAATGGGTGTTCTACCATTGTCTTCCACCAACACGTTCTCACATGTACACACACTCACAATCCTTCCCATTTACATTCACTTTTAAGGGCCGTTCCTCCCTCCTCGCTTTGCTGGCTTTCACATCTCTTGGCAGTCAAAAGGAAGGTGTGCTGTGGGGGATTCTCAGCTGCTGTCTAACTGTCTGTACTGATTTAGAGTACCAGTGTGTGCTTGGCATTTGTAGGGGCTTATTTGTGAGAGTTTTCATACTGTACACTCATGCAGCCTTTTTTAGGCTTTTTGGGTGTGTGTCCTCTGCAGCATGTTTCTTCTTGTGTGTGTGTGTTCATTATGATTTGTGTTCCTTGCATCAAGGGGTCCAAGTTGACACAGTGACAGCTCCTCACAGAGCAACAGAGGGGCCCTACCATCCAACAGCAGAGGCTTTTCCGCTCTGCTCCTCTTGGCTTGTTACAGGCTTCCTTCTCCCTCTTTTTCTCTGGCTTTTACTCCTTTATTTATTTATTTATTTTTACCAAGTCCATTTTCTTGTCTGAAATCTTAATTTGGGATGCTGGCCAAAGGGGAGAGAGGCACGGGGACCAATGGAGGGAAAACCAAGGGGTGGGGGCTGGCGTGAAGAGGTGCAGAGCGCTGATGGCTGCAGACGGACGGCCCTTTGTTCCTCCGTTCCCAGGCTCCTCTCTTGAGCCTCTGAGGCTCCAGTTGCGTTGAAGCCTTCCAGAGAGGGTGGCGGGGTGGGGGGCTGGTAGGAAAAGGGGGCACAATGATCTGTCCAACTGGAATCTTCCAATTCCACAAAACACAGGCATGTGCACACATACACATGCAAGACATGTGGAGATGAAAATAGAGGAGTGAGTAGCAAAAGAAAGAACAAGCAAATGGTTAAATACATAAAAAGAGAATAAAGAACAGGACAGCAAAAACCAAAAAGAACAAAGACAAAGATAGGGATAGGATGAGGACATCAGAAAACATTGCTCACATTGAGTGTGAACTGCACATACTGACCACTAGGTGTCCCCACCTCTGATGCCAAAAGTGGGCATTTTAATAATCCCACACTGTGCCAGTGGCTCTGGAGCACACAACAGTGTGTTGCTCCATCCACAGCAGATGAAATCCAGTGTTTAATTACAAACACACGCAGAATGTATCCATCAATCTGTGCAACGTGGAAATCTGTTTTCATGCTTTTTATTGAGCCTGGAACCATTTTTGTGTCAAATGTTTAATTCTAGTTGCTATGATAAAATAAACACACTGTTAAGTAAATAAAAAAACACACAGAGAGACAGAGAGGGAGGGAGAGAGAGCGAGAGAGAAAACTTAAGTAATATTCTGCTGTTTTAGTTTCAAGCCCACAGTCATTTTGCAGGAGTAGGTGTCAAAATTGTTCAAACAGTGGACAGCTCATTGTGATTGTGGGTAGGAGGATCCCACAGAGGAGAAATCGAAATTAGGTCCTGCGTTCTTGTGTTTCTTCGTCACAAAGATTCTCCAGCATGTAACATCAGTGTTTGTGTGTTAACCAAAAAAAAAAAAAAAAAGTTTGTTGTTGGGTTGGTGTGCTGTAAATCCCCCACTGCCGCTAAGCCATGAAGTATGCTTTTAAACTAAGTGTGTGATGAAACCTTACAGGAAACCTTTCCAGTTGAAAAACATCACTCTTAACATAAAATGGAAAATGTTCTTGAACCTGTGTGTGTGATAACAAGTGACCACGAAGGGAGGAGGGACTTGGAGAGGGACCTTGAGGACCATGTCAACGTTTTCTGTGCTGGAGCAGAGACAAACATTGGGTAAACATTGGGAAAGGCTGGCAGCCTTTGAGATAGTGGGCCGTTGATCTAAGACTGAGGAGCTAAAGTCCCCTATCTCCTGTCTGATACAGCAGTCAAGGTCTCGCTGACACACAAAGCCACAGAACAAACATGGATACCTGAAGACAATGACCTTTGAACTCCCAGTGGGAGAGGTGGAAAAAACAGGAAGTGGTGAAAGTGACTCCAGTGACTTCCTCCCTGCAGACCAAGAATGAATCAGGTGGAATGATTGTAAGTACATGGGTCATTGTACATAAAAAAGCACACACACACACAGACGTGCACACACACTGTGCAGGAGTGGAAAGCACAGATGTGGTGTGTGTATATATGTGTGTGTGTGTGTGATAGAGGAAGCGGGAGAGTGAGTCTTCAGATGTAGCGACAGATGGTATTTGATTACAGAGCAGACGGTCGGTGTTGTACAAAGATGCTGTCTCAGCCCAACCTAAGGAGCTGTAGCCCCCGGTTAAGGCAAGCAGAGGGAGGCAGGCAGAGGACGAGAGAGAAAAGGAACATGGGAGAAAGGGGAAAAAAGCATAACAGCAAGCAAGAAAGACAAAAGAAGCAACTCCAAAAATGAGCATCAAAGCAAAAAGAGTGAAAAGCAGTCAGGCAAGAACAAAAGGAAGAAAGGAACACAGCAACGGGTGCACATGGTGGAAAATACAACTGAGGTCATCATAAGAACGCAACCAAATGACACAGAGAGAATACTGAACCTTTGATTGTAGTTTTTTAGAGACTTAACAAACTTAACAAATTAAGAAACCACAAGAAATGTTAAATATGTGAGAATATGTTCAGCATTTTCTTTTAAAAATACATTGGCTTAAAATCTTTTCATGTAATTGTGTGCAATTGCTCATTGGGTTTTACAAAATTTTAGTTGTGCATTTATGTTATACACAGCTACACACACACACATTTTTTATTGGTTTGAATTTGATACATTTTTTTAGTACATTTTCCAGTGAAAATGCCAAAAATCTGCTGGTTCAAGCTTCTCAGATATGGTGAGTTGATGACATTATTTGCAGTTTTTGACAGAAGAAGCCAAATTTCCAAGTTGTTTGTTTTTGTTGCTTTCTCAGAGTTTTATCCAAGCATTTATTAAGCGTTAAATTTCCAGCATAAGAAAACGTTCGATGATTACTTTATTCATGTGAAATTCTGGTTGAATCGACTATTTAACTGTGCGAGTGTCTCTGAGCATGGTGATTGTTGTTTTTAGCCTAAAGAGGTGGCATCTGCAGTCATCCGCGGAGCCAGTGGCTCCATGGTGAATCACGCAGAGAGCAGAGCAGCACTGATTCTGATTATCTCTATACAATAAATACATACACTGTCAACTTTGATAGTCGATCTCACTTTTTCTATTAATGATCTTCCCACTCTTCAGACCCTGGGTATGTGGAACATGATATGAATAAAGCACTAACAACATGCATTTTGTTCTCCTATTTTTCATTTTTATTTCCATTTTCTATTCATTTTGCACAAGCTTGCATATATACTGCACATACATTCAGTTCATAGAGGGTGAAGGCACGAAAGGCAATTTGTCTACTGTTTTTTGGGCCAGGCCAGAGCAATACAGGGGCAAAAATCTCAAGAGAAAATACAAAACTGCTTCATACCAGTTTCAGCTTTCTAGCCCACCCTCGGCCCAGTCCAGGAACAAAACACAACCTTTTTTTTTTTTTTTTTAAATTTATCTGCCAAGTTCTCCATTTGATCATTTCTGATAATTGAATTTGCACACTAGGCTCATCATTTTTTAAAATTCAGTTTTAGGTAGATAAGGATTAAAATCTTTTAAGTTGGTTCTACTTATTGAAATGCAGTACAGCCTTCCCTGTTTGAGAAACAAAAGAAAACAACATCAAATAAATTAGGATAAATTAAACCAATAAATTACACAAAATCTGCAAGACAAATAGACACCAATAACAGAAAAAAGCAGCCATGTCATGAGTTTTATTTTATAACCTGTGTGTAATCATTCAGACTGCATTTAAAACATGGCTGCTCCGGTTGGAATTACTGCACTAGAATTGAATAATAATGTCATACAAAAAGCATCAACAAAACACTATTTACATAACATATTGCTAAGTTATACAAAGGCAGTATTTTTGTCACTGTAAGTCCACATCATTGATATTTACAAAAAAGGAGAAGTCATGTAATAATAAAGAAAAAATAAAGAGTTATGACTAAAAACATCAAGAAACAAAAACCACTTTCAAACTGGTCAAAAAACAGATCAGATGAAATTATAACACACACACACACACACAAATTGCCAACTCTTAATGAGAATCATTCACATGTGAGGATGGTGCTCCCAGGGCTGGGGGGTGGGGCCACAGTGTTGAGAATTGTGTCACTCACTGGTTCACAGGTTCTCGTAATTGGTCTTTTCTCTCATGCAGAGACACACTCATATACATCCATGCGCGCGCACACACACACACTGACACACACCAATACAAAGTGTACAGAAATTCCACTAAAGTCCAAACTTTGCCCAACCTGGTAAAAAAGGGTATAAATCATCATTTTCTGTCTGAAGTCTCTTTTTTTAAACTGAGACTTTCAAAATGTGCCCCCTCCATGACACTCCTTTATCTTCTGATGACAATGAGTCACTGTCTCTGTTCCAGGTCAGATCTAGAGCTACGCTGCTGTGGTCTGCCCTTGTTTTTGGACGAGACCGGGTCCACAGACTGCCAGCGTGCCACTCTGTGACATCATCATTGCCCAACTGCTAGCCTAATGCATCGTTCTAACAGCAAAAATTAAAGAAACGGATGCTGGTGCAACTTCAAGAGCACTGCTGATGGGATACAGACTCCCGTTAAAGGCATGGCAGGGTGGTTATGCGTCTATTTGGAGAGAGCGGGTCATCTCTGTTTCTCCGCCCTTCTTTTTTTAACCACACTCACCTTTCTCTAACACTCTGAGTGATAATAGAAAAATGTACAGCTATTCTTTGTTTCATCCTGACATTATTTACAGTAGCAACAACATTTCATACTCTGAAAAACAGATTCCAGGTTTATTTTTCTGATCTCAAGAAGACAGCCATTCAACATAATACAAAAAGGTAAAGAAGCCAAAAGGAAAATCGGTCACAAAACCTACAACTATTGCTCCTAATCTACCAACAACCCACTTATTCAGAATACGGCTTTAAACAAAGCTGTCACTAAAAATACCCTCAAGATTTCTTCTATGAAACAATTGCTAATAGTGCCTTTCAAAGGACTTTCACTACAGTATATATTCTTCCCATAGATTCATATTTTACAATTCTTTAAAAAAGGCTATATATGTATTTCAATAATGTTATTCTAAAAATCAAGCAAAACCAGAAAAGGAAAACTTGACAAAAATATTTTAAACATGGTATTAAGGTCTTTCCTAAATCCTTTTTTAAATTTTTTTTTTTTGCACACAAGTCTTCATTCTCCTGAATTAATCTTTTAGGTGCAGAAACTCTTTAACTTTAGGGTGGGGTTGCAGGAAGGTGGGGGGGAATAATAATCTGTGCATCAGATAAAAGTGTCCTTTCCTTTCCCCTTTGTTTGTGGCGCTTTGAGACTTTGAGACATGCAGGGCCTAGCCCATCCTTCAGTGAGAAAAGTGTCCGCCTCACTCTCTCAGGGCTCCAGATCTTAAGAAGAACACTGTCCAGGGAGAAGGAGGAGGACGGGGGGAACATAATGAAGGGAGTAGCTCTCTGTCTTTCTCTGCCTCCTTTTGTCAAGCGCTTTGTCTTGCTTAGACAAGTCAGCAGGTTAAGCAACCTGCACCTTTTGATCTTTTGTCACACACACACACACACAATAAGCTAATTTTGCCAAGGTGAGATCAACTGCTAGCTCGCACGCACTCTACAAAGCACTTAAGTCCTCTCATAGCATAAAACTTACCTCATCAAAGGGGCAGTTAACACAAACTGCTTCTTAAAAATCTTAAAAGCCTGGGAGGGCGTATGAAAGTAATAAATCACTAAATATACATGTACAACTTAAATGGAAAATCTGGGATTCGAATGTCAGGTGTAAGTGAAAGGAATGGCATTTAACAGCTTGGGCACAGCGGCTTCAGCAGAATCACACGCTGGGTCTTAAAAGTGCGGGACAGCAGGACAGAGCAAAGGGTTTCAGGTGTGTGTTGATCCTCGCTCTGTACCTTTGTCTCTACTTTTGTAGTGCTGAGAGCTTCTCCATCTACCTCTGGGACGAGTGCTCACCGTTGACCTCGTATTGTTGCACTGAGAGGAGAGCTGGCAGGTGAGCATGGAAGGAAGGAGCTGTGTGTGTGTGTGTGTGTTGTTTGTGGGGGTGAAGTTCCACTTGAAGCAAAATTAGTGAACGCCTGTGTTCCAGCTTATATTCACCCTTCGCCCTCGTTGAATTATCTTCCTCTTTGTGATGCTTCTATTTGTCTTCAGTTATCTGTTGTTTCAACAACACTACAGTTTAGATCACCACAGTATTTTGATATATTCAAGTATCAGCTACCATTGAAGTAACTTCATAATGTGATTTAGCTCTCATATAGACTCATCACATTAAAAACCTATCATGTAAACGGGCTGACCTCATCTAACAGGAGTTAATTAGGCCATGCTTTGTAAATACTTCATGTTTTTTTGTAGCCTAACTCCTTTTCCAGTTTTGTTTCCAGACTGTTCCTGCCCAGGAGGAGCCTGCTCTGATGACCCTGGATTAAAACCACAACTTGGAACTCTTTCCAGGCATGTTGCCCCAGACCCTGACCACCAAAAAACAAAACAAAACAAACAAAAAACAACGAGAGTCTACTTCAGGGATGGACAAACAAAAGGGCTGCGAAGATGGAAAGTAGGGGCAAAATATTTACCAATCTAAACTCATGTGGAGTAATATTAATAGCAATAATTTATTTTTTTTCTGTAACGGCATCAAGGAACAAACAATCTCGAAGTGCTAATCTTCAGCAAGCAGTGATGACAAATAATATTCATAAACAAGAACAATAATAATTAAAATAATATATGCCCAGTACACACAAAGCCCTACATACAGGGAAAACACACTTCAAAACATGGTAGAGCTCAGTAGCCATTTGAAACCAGTCCAAATACCACAGACCAGTATCACAAGTCCAGTCTTAGTCCAATCAATAACCTCACTAAGCCTTGTTTTTGTGTGCATATGTGTGTGTGTGACTGTCCTGTTAGGGGCATCTTCAGTTGCACAGTTTATTGGACGCCCACATTGTGGGGACAGTTCATTTGGACACCCGCTGGATTGGAGGGATACCCCTTGGTGCCGTGATTAAAGTCTTTAGGGAACCCAGCCTATGTTTTAGCAGTGTAAATGGGAACTCAGAGACTCCTCGTGCACACTGAGGACTCAGTTAGTGTTGATCTTTTAACAGGCCAAAACAAATTCATGCAGTCCAGAAAACACCCAGAAAGATGAGTCTCTTCAATTCAGCAGAATCATGGAAAAACAAAACAGATATTAACCAACATGATAACTGTCAACAACACAATAGCTAAGTCATTTAGGAACTGCCACAGAGGCTCCAGATTGGGAATGCTACTTCATATCATTCATACATTCAAGAAAATAAAACAAACAAACCCCGGGAAATTTGAAGTTTGGGGAAAGGAAAAAAACAAAAGAATATTGTTTTGAAACTGTATGAAATCAGAGAAGATAAAAAAGCACAAAGTGTTGAGCGAGGAGGAGGGGAAATTTACTCATGTAGAAGTTCTTGGAGACAGTTGGGGGACTTGAAGATTTCGGGGACCTCGCTGTCCAGTTTGCAAATGACCTTGTAGATGGCCTTCTTCCAGGATGGGTCCACGTCTTTGCCGGCCACAATGGCATTGAAAAACTCTCTCAGTGTGATTTCAGCCACCTCCAGGAAGCGATCAGGGACCTTCACAGACACAGGAAGGAAAGAACTGGTTTATCATCTATACATGTTTGATCACTGATCATTTTTTCCTTCCCAGTCATTATTTTTGAATATGCTCTTCCTGCTTTTCTTTCAATGACTTCCTTAAAGGTAGGGCTGGCGATCCTGAAAAAAAAAAAAAAAAAAAAA